GTCCTGCCCTCGGGAGCAGGCACGGTGCGCCCCCTGGGCTGTCAGGCCGTGGCTTTCCAGCACCCAGCAGAGGGGCTTCCGTGAGGAAGAGCCCCCTCCCCAAGCCTCTCCCTGAATGATCGGGCAGCGACTCACCTGGTGACGGACATCTGGCAGGCTGCTCCGCACTCCTCTCTGGGGAGGGAGTAGGGGAACCTGCTGGGGACGCCATCTCGGTGCCTCCAGAGCCAGCTCCGCAACCCGACAGTCCTGTCTCAACACCCGCCTGGGCGGAGCTCCTGCCCCACACAGCATGGAGCATAGGGCGCCCAACACTGGGCTGCTGTGTGGAGGCCCAGCCTGCCGGGCCGCCCTGGACTCTATTCCTCCTCACCACACTAGGGTTGGGGTTAGAAAAACGAGGTGTCCTGGTATGATTTTCATGGTTGGAATTGTAAGGAATGAAATTCATGCAGTGACAAAACCCGAGGCAAAGTATCAAGTAGTAATAGTTCAAAATGTTCTTGCAAGAGTGGGCGCTCACCACACAGGTAGCACGCCGTTTTCACACAAGGAATTGCTTTTTATTCCCTTTTCCCGTCTCGCAGACCCTGCCTCTCTTCTCCCACTGGCTGGGTTGCTAAGAGCTCACAATCTTCACTGTCCGCCTACATTATTCCACTCCTTGATATGTTCCCCCTCCCACTCACAAGTCCCATGTTCATGCTAATGAGCCCATTACCTATGAGAGGTGTGTCAGTTATTATTCTTGAACCTATTAAGAGTGCGCACTACTTTCTAAAATTTCACAGGTCGCCTTGGCCTTGTAACCTCTTGCTTGATGCCCACTCATTTCCTAAATCTTCTGGGAGGATGAGATAGGACGAACAAGCCTTCCTCCAGGCGCATTATGGCCACTTGTAAAAGGCAATCAATTTCCTACTCCCTTCCACAAAAGGTGACAGTTTTACCACTGCCCCCAACCTCACTCCCCTTGTGTTCTTCAGGACTTTGATGTAAGAAGCACTATTACTTTTGTTACAACTCTCTACATGGTTCTGTCCTTAGGCCCTTGGGTCTAAAGAGGTTTCGTTGGTCTTACCTTAGCCCTTTATTTCATTCTTTCTTCAGTTTTCACGTTCCTACTTAGCAACAGTAATTTTACATTTCTCACAGAATGTGATTAGCATGGGCAGGAATGATGAGCTTTGCAGAAAAAGCTACTCCAGGACGGATTTTCCAAACCGTCTGCTTGGAGTGGAACTTTCCTGTATATTACGGTTTTGGGAGAGCACCAGACTAGGGTTGGGTTAGAAAAATGAGGTGTCCTGGCATTACTTTGATTGTTGGAATCTGAATTGAAAGGGCAGAAATGATGAGCTGTGCAAAAAAGTTACTCAAGTAGGGATTTTCAAACTCGTCCTCTTTTCAGTGGAACTTTCGCCTATATTAGGGTTAGGGTTGGGGTTAGAAAAACGAGGTGTCCTGGTATGATTTTGATAGTTGGAATGTGATTACCATGGGCAAAAACGATCTGTGCAGAAAAAGCTACTCCAGGACTGATTTCAAAAATCGTCTATGTTGCAGTAGAACTTTCCCCAATATTAGGGTTTGGGGCGTGCACCAGGAAAGGGTTGGTATTAGAAAACTGGGGTTGCCTGGTATTATTTTGATGGTTGGAATGTCATTGGCATGGGCAGGAATGATGAGGTATGTAAAGTTACAAAAGCATGGATTTTTGAAAATGGCCTACTTTGCAGTGTACCTTTCACCTATATTAGGGTTAGGGGTGTGCACCAGGGTTGGGTTAGGGTTCGAAAAATGGGGTGTCCTAGCACCATTACAATGGTTGGAATGTCTTCAGAGTGAGCAGAAATGATGAGCTGTGCAGAAAAAGCTACTCAAAAAAGGCTTTTTCAAGATCACCGTTTTGAATGGAAATTTCACCCAATATTAGGATGAGGGGTGTTTACCAGGGTATGGTTTGGGTTCAAATAATGTGGTGTCCTGGCAGTATTTTGATGGTTGGAATGTGTTTAGAATGGACCGAAATGATAAGCTGTGCAGAAAAATCTACTTAAGGAAGGTTTTTTTCATAATCAGCCTCTTTTGAATGGAAATTAAACACTCGGTTAGGGTTAGGGGTGTGCACCAGGGTAGGGTTAGCGTTAGAAAAACGTGGTATCCTAGCACCTTTTCGATGGTTGGAATGTGATTAGAATGGGCAGAAAAGATGAGATGGGCAGTAAAAACTAGTCAAGGAAGGCTTTTTCAAAATAACCCTCTTTTCAATTGAAATTTCACCCTACATTAGGGTTAGGTGTGTGCACCAGGGTAGGGTTAGGGTTAGAAAAATGTGGTGTCCTGGAATGATTTTGATGGTTGAATGTGTTCAGAGTGAGCAGAAACAATGAGCTATGCAGAAAAAGTTACTCAAGGAAGCCCTTTCCAAAATCACTCTTTTCCATGAATCTTTTTTTCGTATATTAGATTTAGGGGTGTTCTCTGGGGTAGGGTTACAGTTAGAAAAACGAGGTGTCCTCGGACCTTTTCAACAGTTGCAATATTTTTCGAATGGGCAGAAAAGATGAGCTGTGCAGAAAAAGCTACTCAAGGAAGGCTTTTTCAAAATCACCCTCTCTTGAATGGAAATTTTACTGTATATTAGGGTTCGGGGTGTGCACCAGGGTAAGGTTAGGGTTTGAAAAACGTGGAATCGCGGCACGATTTCGATGGTTGGAATGTACAGAGTTAGCAGAAATGATGAGCTGTGCAGAAAAATCTACCCAAGGAAGGCTTTTTCAAAATCACACTCATTTGAATGTAAATTTCTCCCTACATTAGGGTTAGGTGTGCGCACCAGTGCAGGGTTAGGATTAGAAAAACATGGTGTTCTGGCATGAATTTGATGGTTGGAATGTGGTCAGAGATATGGGTGCTCACCAAGGTAGGTTTAGGGATAGAAAAAAGTGTTGTTGTAGCACCTTTTCGATGGTTAGAATGCGTTTAGAATAGGCCGAAATAATGAACTGTGCAGAAAAAGCTTCTCAAGGAAGGCTCTTTCATAATCACCCTCTTTTCAATGCAAATTTCACCCTATATTTAGGTTAGCAGTGTGCACCAGGGCAGGATTAGGGTTTGAAAAATGTGGTTTCCTAGCATGATTTTGATGGATGGAATGTGTTCAGAGTAAGCAGAAATGATGAGTGCAGAAAAAGTTACTCAAGGAAGCCTTTTCCGAAATCACTCTCTTTTCAATGAATCTTTTTTCCTATATTAGGGTTAGGGTTTTCACCAGGGTAGCCTTATGTTAGAAAAACGAGGTGTCCTAGAACTTTTCGATGGTTGGAATGTGTTTAGAATGGGTAGAAAATATGAGCTGAGTGGAAAAAGCTACTCAAGGGGGGCTTTTTCAAAATCTCCCTCTCTTGAAAGGAAATTTCACCCTATATGAGGGTTCGGGGTGTGCACCAGGGTAGTTTTAGGATTAGAAAAACGTGGTATCCGCTGAAGGAGAAAGAAGATAGTGACTTCTATCAAATTTGGAACTTCTTTTTTTATTAACTGGAGAAACGGTACTTGGTTTAGCTCTAAAACTGTTTTTAAGTTATTATAAATAGATCGGAATATGATTACAGACTCAGATTACAGGTTACAAGATAAGTAGTAAGTGGCTGACCCTGTAGTTCCGATTTATGTGATAACTGATTTTTTTTTTTGTATTGGTTTAACATTTTAATAAAAATTCTAAAAGAAAAAGAAAAATGTGGTATCCTGGCACAGAGTGTGTTCAGGGTGAGCAGAAATGATGAGATGGAGTGCACACCCAAACCCCTAATATAGTGAGAAATATCCATTTAAGACAGGGTGATTTTGAAGAAGCCTTCCTTGAGTAGCTTTTTCTGCCCAGCTCATCTTTTCTGCCCATGCTAAAAACATTCCAACCATCAAAAATGTGCTAGGACACCTCGTTTTTCTAACCTTAACCCTACCCTGGTGCACACCCCTAAGCCTAATATAGTGTAAAATTTCCATTCAAGGAAAGGTGATTTTCAAAAAGCCCTGCTTGAATAATTTCTTGGCATAGCTCACCATTTCTGTTCGCTCTGAACACATTCCAACCATCAAAATCGTGCCAGGATGCCACATTTTTTGAACCCTAACCCTACCCTGGTTCACACCCCTTACCCTACTATAGGGTAAAACTTCCATTCAAGAGAGGGTGATTTTGAAAAAGCCTTCCTTGAGTAGCTTTTTCAGCACAGCTCATCTTTTCTGCCCATTTGGAACACATTCCAACCATCAAAAAGGTGCTTGGACACCTCGTTTATCTAACCCTATACCTATCCTGGTCCACACCCCTAACCCTAATGTAGAAGTAAAGTTCCATCGAAAATAATGTGATTATGAAATAGCCTTCCTTGAGTAGCCTTTTCTGTACAGCTCAACATTTCTGTCCATTCTAAACACATTCCAACCATCAAAATCATGCCCGGTTACCTTGTTTTTCAAACCCCAACTCAGTTATGGTGAATCTGTTAGAAACTGAGTGCCCAAACTGCAACCCAAAACCCACTTATTTATTGTGAAGTGCCTACACTGTAATAAAACCAGAAAACTCACATCCAGTCCAAGCCAATATATATGTGTCCTTGGCTGCGCACTGACCTGCCATGCAAATGTTTGGACGAGCCGCAGCTACTGAGTCACGGCTTGTGACGTCATCACCAGGCGCCACTACTCCTTTCTGAGCATGTGCTTGGCCCCTATGTGCACTGTTATCCGATGCTCGGCTGTTGGGGCGATGCCGGGGTGACTTGGCTCGCATGCCGATAGAGAGAGCTCTGTGTGCCCGGTGTGGCACGCATGCCATAGGTTCACCACCACTTGCCTAGATGGGCAGTAACGTTCCATATTATGTTAGCAGCCAAACACAGCACGAATCACCCCCTGCTTACTAAGTTATACGTATATACATAATTGCGTTCATAATTTAGTACCACAAATCAAACTTCAGGAAGTCCATAGTTTTCATTTATTTTTTCATTCATGTATCTATTTACAACTCACTGCACAAACCACACAAAACTAAGTGATTTTAAGTCTTGATTTTTGATGGAAGAAAGCTTAACCACATCCTTAGATTGAAATTGATGAAACATAAAATGCTCTTAACTTTTGGCAAAGGTTTGTGCTTCTCTTTAGGAGTTAGCGCACTCTTCCCTCTACATAAATTTTCACTTGATTTTTTTGGTACTTGAGACATTGGTGGATAACCTTTTGATGTCAATAATTTTACCAATGTTAATATGCAGCAACTGCATTTCCTATATATAAGTTACAGGAGTTGTTTAGCTTTTCACTTTGTATTTTCAATTTCATGCTGTTAGAAGTGTTCTCTCCACACATTCTGAAGAGCAACAAAATAGTAAAAATGCAAGCCAATTGTATTCATACTGGTAAAAGCATATAAACAAACTACTGCAATGTTTCAGAACCTTAATTACTCTCCATCAAAGTAACTAAGAATTTTTTCACTATTTTATTTGGTTGGTTCTTAACATGCTATTACTCTTGCCCCAGACATCACTAAGCATAGATAATGGCACTTAAGTGACAGGGCAGCAAAGATCCATTGAAAACAAAGAACCTATGGCCATTGTATTCTATTGTTCTCAGTGGGACTTGACTGCAATCAACTTTCTTAACTTTCTATATGGTTACACAACCACAGTTTGTGCACCATTTTACTCTTACCTGGCAAATTGGTTAAATAAAAATGAATAAGATGTCAAGAAAAACCAGGGTTCTGGAGAAGAAGCCAGAATCCCCATTTCATATATTGTAATGAACAAACCAGAAATTCCAGGAAGATGGTCTGTTAGCTGCTCCTCCTGTGATGAGAAACCAAACAGGAGTAATGAACAGTGTATGCCAGAACACTTGCTCATTCCCAGTAAGCCATTCTTCTGTGGGACTGTGGTTTCTCATGAGATCAAAACTGGGCTTATGTGGCTGCTTTAGTCCTTTCTGTGGAAGCCTATCTTTTATGCTGTTTTATAAAGGGCATTTTATATTGGACTTTACAACCTATATAAAACTGCACTATCCATCTTGAGGACAAGGTATTTTTCACAGTGTGCATCAAATTCTTTCCCAGAAATAATTTGAGTGGGGGGATTATAATTAGTCTTTCATACTTTTTTTAAACTTAAGACGTCACAAGTGCTAAGGTACTGTAGGGAAGATTATAACATTTTCAAATTAAAGATCTGGTTTACTTCCATCACAGAGAATGCAAGCGAGCCAGCAGCAAGGGCGGGAAGCAGCTGGGCGCTGGTGCCCAGTCTGGGGCTGTGCAGCTCAGGAGACTGCCCTGCTGCTCTTCTCTCTCACTCTGCCTTGCCAAAGAGGCGTCCTAAACTGAGCGGCCTCTCATTCCTGGCATGGGTGCTTTCCTTGGCACATGCCAGGGGAAGCATGAGAGCAGCAGTGCCCCTGCAGGCTGCCCAGTGGATTTCCCTCCCTTATGCCTAAGGGTGCGTTGGGCACCCCCTCTTGTTCAGGAGGGGAGGCTGCCTGAGTGGCTGCTTGTCCTCTTCCACCCTTCAAGGCACGTGAAGCAGATTCTGCCCAACAGCCCAGCCCGCAGTCATGGCTGTCAAACAACGGGCGTCCCGTTCTTCCCCACAGTGCCTCCTGGGATATTGCCTGGAGGACTGAGAGGGAAGAAAATGGAGGTGGGAAGAAAAGTTGCCGTGCTGAGCCTGATCATTGTTTTTGGACACATCCATGCAAAAAATAGGCCCTGAAGGACCCACGTGGCATTGCTTGTGACACGTGAACCCAGCCAGTACATACCACTTGACCAACTGGTACTGTGCAAATGATAAGAGCACTCTGGAAAGCAAGCCACTAAGAATGCTACGTATTGTCCTAGGTATATGCACAGATTTCCTCTTCTACAGAGTTTGAGAAAAGAGTAAGAGCTTGATCAGGGAGAAGGCATTCATTCTGTAGAATATGCTCCATTTCATTAATCTTCTCTTTCTCCAGCTTTCGGAGGTTTTCCATCATCCTTTCGCCCTTTTCCTATATATGACAGACAGACAAAAATAAACTTAATACTGGAGCAAAACCTGGGCACTTCTGAAAGTCCCTTTTATCACCTTTAAGAGGTACATGCCACAGTACACCCAACCCGGGTACTATGCTTGCTTATGCATGGAGCCCTACAACAAAACGTTGCAGTGTAGCCGCTAAGAGCGCTCTTGCTCAGGGCTCCAGCCAGCCTAGGAAGCAGCCTTGGGACTCTGAGGAGACCTTTCCCACTAGGTGACAGACTGTGCAAAAGAGCCCAAGCTTCTTTGATCCAAATGTGTGATTGCAATATAGCAGGGAGGACGGATACATATTCCCCGTTTTTCCTTCAGGGTAGCACAAGGAGCTGCTCAGGACCTCCTGCCTTCCCCCCACATGTTAACCTATTCTTTTAGCACTCACTGAGCTGCCCTCCACAAGAGAGTTAATTGCAAGTCTCACCTCCTGAATAAAGGACTGCCAGTTCCTACGAACCCCCATGTTGCACCACTTCTAACCCGCAATAAGACAACGTACTGCCTCACAGGGTCACTGGAAGCCACTCTCTCCCAGGCAGGGCCCCACCCCTCCCAGCAAGAGACTACCAGAGAGATTTTTAAATGCCTAAAACAAAACATTCAAGCAAAATGACTCCCAAGGCAAATGATGATACCGTCTACTCATCGCTCCACTGAAATCGAGGCACACTCCGTTGTTCTCTCAGTGAGTTCTTCTGCTGGGGAATATAAAAATGGCAAACCCGAGACTCCCATTCCAGACAATGAGATGTGTTACCATAGTACAAGACTGGGGAACACCTGGCACTCCAGATGTTGATCAATGGCAAGCCCCATCTTGCCTCACCTATACTGCACAGAGCTGATGGAAGCTGCAGGCCAACAATGTTGGGAGTGTCTCCTGATTTATTTATGCAAACTCATCTTCGCCTTGCTGTTTCCAAGACAAAGGCGTGGGTAGACCTGACCATCTGTGCTTGTCTTGCAGGGGAGGGCCCATGGGGACGAGTGCTTAGCCCTCCCTGTGCACCAGCCCTCGGTCAGCCATCTGGGTCTGTGTCTTGGCACATGAAGAGATCCAACTCACCTGCTATTAGCAGAGTGACATGAATGAGAGTGCAGAATAGTGCCGGTTGTAGGGAGTGTGGCAGAGAGAAACATCCATGCCAACTCAGCCCATGACGGCCTTACTTCCGTGCCCCACACTGTGCCCTTCCTGCATGCTTGGCCTGCAACTTTTCGTCCTTGTCGAGCCATAGGTTGAGGAAGGGTGATAAACGTGAAGCCGTGTGACTACTAAGAGCATGTGCCATGTAAAAGCACACCTTGAAGAGGCTCTTGGACATTCAATACCTTTGCCTGAGCCTAGGAAACAAGCCACGCAGTGTGCACAGATGTCCTCATGACCTTCAAGAACTACGTCTGTGTGACTGAAAGGCTATATGCCAGTGCAGTAGCTCCTCATCCACAAGTGTTCAGGCATATATAGTGTTAAATTCCATCCGCATCATTCAACTTACACAAATTCTTCCCTTGACTTTGTGCTAAAGCAGATCTAATTTAAATCAACACACCTTGGAGGATTCCATCATGACAAGTGCACTTTCATGTTTTCTGTAGAGCTCATGCCTTCTGTCTGGCTTGGTTTGAAACCGTGGTTGCTTTTTAACTGGATCCTCCAGGCCAAACACTGGAGAACTAGTTTTTAGCAGCTCAGTAATATTTGGAACAAAAATGAAAGGTTTAAAGACAGACCTGGAGGGCAGAATGAAAAACCAAGTAGAATGAAAATTAGCAAACATGCACAGTTAATTTTGCCCCCCTGCTTTTCTTAAGTACTTCACAGCCCACCAACATGAATAAACATGTTAGACACTGTCAACATAAATCCCATGGTAGGCCTAATTTGTTAAGCCATTTGTCTCAAATCAGATATACTCAGCAGTATGGTCTATTAAGTAAAGTGGGGATTTAACCATTCCAGGAGACTAAAAGAGGCAGTTGTGCAGCAAATGTAGTTTCCAGGAAGTGTCAGTGAAATGCCTGGATTGTAATAATGTCATTGCCTCTGCTCCTTCTACAAGATGCATTGAGATCCGGAGCTTTCACTCGGAGCTCAGGTAACAGCGGCAGCGAGGAGCGTTTTCCTCCAGCTTCGGCTGATTCATCAGCTGCGCCCCTATCTGGAGTACGACTGCCTCGCAACAGTGACTCAGTGACGCATGCACTGGTGACTTCCCGTCTTGACTTGTGTAACGCGCTCTACGTGGGGCTACCCTTGAAGACGGTCCGGATACTTCAGTTGGTTCAAAATAGAGCTGCCAGGCTGCTGACGGGGACTGGACGTTATGTTCACATGACTCCAGTTCTCCGTCAGCTTCACAGGCTCCCCATTGAAGTCCGGGCCCAATTCAAGGTGGTGGTGATGACCTATAAAGCCCTAAACGGCTTGGGTCCTGGTTACCTGAAGGAGCGCTTACATCCATATATGCCCAACCGCCCCCTGCGATCAGCGGGAGAGGCCCTCCTCCGGGAGCCCTCAGTGAAGGAAATTAGGAGGGTGGTTACTCGGAGGAGGGCTTTCTCAGCGGTGGCGCCTAAGCTATGGCATGTGCTCCCCAGAGAGGTCCGCCTAGCGCCGTCGTTATTTGTTTTTCGGCGCCAGGCAAAGACCTTTTTATTTAAGCAGCATTTTAAATGCTAATACTATTGAATTTTATCTGGCCAGGGCGGCTTATTTTATTTTACTGTATATATTTTAATTGTTATTGTTTTAATGTATTTTGTATTTTATTTGATGTTGTAAGCCGCCCCGAGGCCTCGGCAAGGGGCGGCATAGAAATGTTTTAATAAATAAATAAATAAAATCTATGGGCTGGACCTAAATAAGCATTTGCAGAGGAGTTATGGCAGCGGCACAGTTCTGCGCAAATGCTGCAAAAACCACAGCATAACATGCATGCAATACCCTGCAGAAAAGCCAAGCATTTACAGAACCAAGCACTCTGGATCAGGATTAGCAAGCTCTCACACAATAGGAAAAAAGATGGTTGCACTGGCACAACATGCCTTCCACTTGTGTCATCTGGAATCTGGGTCCTGGATTCCAGCCAATATCTAACGTGCAACTGTGTTTTATGTTCTTAGCTTTTTCTCTGGCTGTTAGAGCTCCTCTCCATTTATGCGAACAAAGAAGTTCCTTGATTATGGTGTATCTTTGGACTTCTCCGAAGTTTGGGGACATTTCATTCCAATTGCTGAAATAAGTAATGGCACACAAATAGGTACCCTGGGATTTCATCAGCCTGGTGACAACTTATTTGTATTACCTGTCAGGGTCTGGAGTTCCAGTGAAGAAATGAATGCAAGGGAGGTGAGGCTCCTGAGGAAGTATGGAAACCATGCTGCCAGTGGTCATAAAGCCCCCTTCCATATTAATGCCACTCTCCTTGTCCCGAAGGATTGCCATCATTGTCTCGGCTGTTATATTGCCTATGAAGACAAAACATTGGTCTTCTTGCAAAAATAAAATAAAATAAAATCCCCTCTCAACAAAACTAGATACATAACTAAAACCATGCAAAACCTACCAGCCTGTTTGCTGTAAGTTTCACAACTGTAAAGAACATGGTTAACATAAGGCAGGAATGAAAAAAAAAACCACACACCATTATATTGTGAAACACAGAAGTATTAGTCATTGCTAACTTGTTATTTCAGTGGGTCTTCTCTATGCAGGACTAAATTTGGATCCACCTGTTGTGTCCTTATCTTTGTATTTGTCCCACCAGCATACCCTTTCTGAAATTGTCATTTCACTGCCTCTAGGAAGCCCGCACATAAGACACGACAGTAAGAGCTTCCCTACGTTGCTTATTCTTTCCTGCAATGAGTATGCTAGGAAGATAGAATGCTCCTGATTGTGGAGGTTGATAGCAGGTCTGGCCAGGATGAGGCAAATTGCTGCAGAAAACACCACTTGGGGCAGAGAGATGCAGGCAGGAATTGCCGAGTCCTACAGGAACTGTGTAGAACCACTGCCCATGAAGGATGTAGACAGAGTGCCTTCGGCCTCCTCATCCGGCAGAAAAGTGATTCAGGCCTCCAATGGTTGATAAAGCTACCCTCCATGAATTTGCCCAATTCTATGTGAAGTCACCTAAGTCAGTGGCTATCAATAACATCTTAATGAATGGGAGATGCTCATTATGCACTGTGTGGAATACTTCCTTTTGTCAGACCTAAAATTATTGCCGATCAGCGGGAATCAATAACTCAAAAGTATGTTTTTAAGGTTTCTGACTCAAAAGTATTGATGTTATATAAAAACCTTTATTTTTAATCACATTTTTCCTAAACTTTAAAAAATGCTTTTGCTTTTGCTCATAAGCAACTTGTGATCATTTTCATTGTCTTTTTTGTACATTCTCACATTAGCTAAGAATTTATTTCTTCTTGCAATGGTTTAGAATTCTCTGAACTTATGGGTCTGACACAGTGGATGATGGTTCCAGATTATTTATTTCACATTAAACACTACTTTCTAGCTTCTTTATGACAATCCTTTTATTATTTTAGGGGGAAAGAACCTAAACCAGGTAACAAACTATCAATTCTGATCTCCATGTCTCAGTTCCATCTTATAAAAGAGACTTGCTGACAAAAGGAAGAAAGACATGTTAAATTCATTGTGGAACTAGGAGACAAAAGGGCCCTACATGTGACAGCGACTGCTCTCTACCCTTGAGCTGCAACAGAACAGATTAAGGGAGAGAACCAGTCCGGGTCAGAAGCAGTATAGAAACCTGAATGAAGTTCCGGTTGTGGTTAAAAGAACTTTAACGAGCTGGGTGCATATATGCTAAAAAAGATTCTAATTTACTCTAAATTCTAAGCAAGAAACCAGAACCAAAATACGTCTGGTACATAGCCTGAGCGGTAAAGCATGCAGCAATACTGAACAAAGTGCTGCTGTTCTCAGGCACGCCGATGCTTCCCCCCCCTAGTTGTGGGTGGGTGGGGGAGGCAGCTCGTTCAGTGCAGGTACCCATCCCATCAACCACCTCTCAGCGTTGCGTGGGGAAGAGACCATTTGCTATTAATCTCAAAACACGGCAGGAAACGCTTTTAGTTGGCTCTTCCATTGCAGTGCAATCTTCCTCAAACGGGAGTCCTGTTGCTAACACATTAAGGGGTTGGACTTCAACCCTCATCAGCCCCAGCTATCACAGCCAGGGGTCAGTTATGCTAGGTGTTGGAATCCAAAACATCTGGAGGGTTCCAGATTGGTGAAGATGGTTGTTATGCAGGGCAGGATTTCCAGCAGCGAGGAAGCCTCTCAACATGGTTGGTTCATTCCCATCACCGAGGAGAAGCCCAGTCCAAATGGCTTGTGCCCGTCACTGGTTCTGAATATAGACATGGGCAGAGCTGGCCAAATTAAGCAAGGGTAGGATTAAACAAGAACACAGGAAAGCAATGGGGCTGCTCCAGCAGAAGGGAAGGAAGAGCAGAAGGGAAGAAGGCATCTCAGAGGGAAAAGAAAATGGGGAAAAAGAATGGGCACAGATGAAAAAGAAAATTGCTGCGGGGATGAGGAAGCATCAAACTGATACACTGCCTTGAAATAATCAGCCAGATCTTTTGCTAAAGGCCTTTCTAATCCATAAGAACGCATCACTTTTCTTGACAAAGGAATGCTTGGTTTTCTGACTTAGATTTTCAACATCCCCCCACGCATAAGTTGGAAGGCCCTGTGACTACTTTAGAATAACAATCTCAATATTAAAAGCAAATCCTCTGTGCCAATTTTAGAAGATTTCTTATTAAACATCTGAAAGTAAAATCTTTAGAGACTATAGAGTTGCAATAATGATTTCCCTCAAGGTAAGAGAAGAGAAAAGAAGAAGCTTAAACTGCATCAGACTGATGGCTTGAACACCTGGTGTGACTTAAAACTGGCTGAGGTAAGTACCTGCAAAATGGGGATTTAGAGTGAAGGCACTGATAGAACCTCAACAAGGCCATCATATTAGCCAGGTATTAAAAATGTTCAGTATTCAGAACCTACAATTCCCTAAATGAATGCAGGATTTGCATGATCACAGGGGTATTATAGCTGTAAGTAATCCACTAGGAAGCACAGGATAACTGCGACAACTGGGGGTGGCAGGGCTCCGCAGAATGAATATTGGAACAGAGGGGTGCAATTGTATTGGGGCTTAAATGTCTTTTGCAATGCATACATGACTTCACATGCAATCTTTATAAACAAATGAAGTAAATGAATGATGCCAGGTTAATGGCTCATGCAAGAAAGTGTTGAAAAGATAAACTTTTCAATATTCTACATGATTACAACCTTTTTCTCAAGCCAAGGCCCCTCAAAAGGTGTAAGCAATAGCAGGTAGGAGGAAATACAACCTCCTGCCTCATTCACTCAGTAGCTGTGTAAGCCCTTGACTGAGCCAAAAAGCAGAATACACAGTAATGCTGTAAGAAACGAGGTCTCTGCACTTACCTTTGTAGGTAGATCATTGTAAATGCTATTCTTATGTTCTAGTAGCATTGTTGTAAATAATCTACATTAAAAGCACTAGGATAGCAAGCTTGCCACAAACATATCTGTGTGTGTGGGGAGGGGGGAGCAGGTGTACAGGGGGACACAAAAAGGGGGAATAGAACTACTAGGAAGATCAGTATTAGAAAAATAAGTTAAAAGCGGATGATGGATCTGATATTACAGGCTGGACTTAAGGATGCATCCTGAGTCTGGAAAAAAGTTAACTGCAACTAGTGCAAAGGAGTAAGAGTTGACTATCAGATTCTTAGGCACAGTTTGAAGTGGTATAGTCCTCTTACGTGGATTACAATACCTACATTTTGTACCAGGTACTATGTGCCTTATTTCATCCCCTGTCCCCTATGAAACTTGTATCCCATACAAATATTGGAAGGGAGGCTTAAGAATGAGTTTCCGCTCAAACGTCTAAGCTCCATAGTAGGGGTCACTGGAGACATTTTCCCACATACAGTGGTACACCACATTGAACATGAGAATATACCTGAAGAGATACTTATGCTGGAATTACTAAGCTACTTAAAATGGGCACAGCCCATTTTCCTTTTAAGGATTACCCCCAAAATGATACGGTTTGCTGTTTCATTGTCTAGGATGACAATGAAGCAAATCCTTGTTGAAAGCAGTATTATGCCTCCCTTCAAGTGAAAAAGACAAGACAGCTAAGATTTTGAACCTGTGTCTACCTACTCATAAACTAAATGAGCACATCCTCAATGGCTCTATATTACAAAGAGATGCTTTAAACTGTTATCTCAACAAACACAATGATTTAACGAACGTACCTGTGTGCTTCTTCAGTAGTTTATAGCCTTCACAGAATCGCCCTCTTGTTGTAGTCATTCTGGCAGTATTTACATAGGAATAAGTGGCAGCAAAATCAAATTCTTTTTTGCCATCCCACCAACCCCTGCTTGCAGCATAACTCCTCACATCAGGGTGCTCACGATCTATCTTGGTTGTTATTGACAGCTGATTGGAAATATTCCTTACTCCTTCTGTTAAAAAAAAAAACACACCTCTTAGTTCTTAAAAGTTTCCTGCATAAAATTGGCATTAAAAACTGTTTACATTTAGGTTCCTGAATTATAACAGCAGATTTTAGGGAACAAACTAAATGACCACTATATGAATTTATTTGGTCCTGCTTTTTATCCATCACCATTCTTTCGTATCCTGCCTATCCATTTGGTCCTGCTTTTCCATTTGAGAGGCTTACAGCACTTGACAATATCAGAACCACAGTTAAAACCAATGTGCAAAAATATTATGAAACAAACCTCAGCATGGGGCAGTATCCCAAGTTCCACAAATGGCCAGCCCTATTAATTTTGCCCATTTGCAGAAGGAAATCGGGGCTGGTTCCCCGTGGCACTAGATACTGCCCAATCACCCCAGTCAGTACAGTAGGTGAGAAAAAATGATTGTGGGTTTTGGCCTTGTCCTAATACGGAAGGATGACAAGGGATGCCACCTTGTGGCTGTGCTGGAGTAATATGGGCAAAATCCCACTTGTCCCTCTCCGCCTATCCCCCTGCTTTTACCCTTTCTATTTTGTGTCTTTACTGTCATTTTGCTTAGCACACCGACTCTGTGCTACCTGATCTGCCAGTCCAGCTGTTGCTTCAGGCAAGGAGCTTCTGTGCACATGCCAGTCTCCTCCTCTGCTGTTGCTGGAGCAAAGGTCCCAGGGAAGTCACAGGGGGTAACTGCCCTGCTGGAAGTCATCATTAGATAATAAAGTGCCCCTGCCCATACTCGGGCAGCCAAGTATGGGAGTTGAGGAGGAGCCTGGGCACTGTGCAGAGGTGCCTCGCAACAAATGAGGGCTGCAGTGGTTTAGAGTACGTGACCACGAATGAGCACACACAGCAGGTTTTGTCACGCAACCTCTTGGCTTACCCTCTCCATCGCGAGATGAGCCTGCAAACCTCACAGAGCAGAGTATATCTGTTGCTTTGTTCCCGGGGTGCCCTATTTCCAAAACTACATTTTGCAAAGGTTCCAAGAGAACTTTCTTTTTTCTACTTTCCAGTTGCCTGTGTACTTTGGAGTGTGTGTGTGTGTGTGTGTGAACACCCAATGATTAAAATGCCTGATTTTTCAAATATTCATTTCCTACAGCGAAACAAGAGATAAGCCTTTGTTGGGTGCCAGCACCTCCGAACATGCTGAGGGACCTGAAGGTGTACTTCCAGAAGGCTTTCTGCTCTCCTTAGACCCCCACAGCACAGGGGATAAAAGAATGCAGCTTTACTGGAATTAATTGCCTATATTAACAGGGCCACATACACTTATACTATTTAGCATGGCCCTATGTGGCTAGAAGCGGGGGGTGGTGGGGGGGGGAGGCGATGGCAGCGGCTGCTCTCTTATTTTGGCCATCTCAGTAATCTAGCTAGTAGTATTTAACTGTGACCTGCTCGATCTGGGCTTCCTTTGCTGGACCTGCCAAAGTTGTAGCTCTCTGTTTGTTTGCTCAGATCCTACTTCTTGAAAGTCCAGGGCTGAATTTTGTAGCTCCAGGCTAAGTAAGAGATAGGGAGACAGAACTGTTACCTAAATTCCAATTATATTGTTTCCTTTCCTTTGACCCTGGCTCTCTGATAGGTTTTAACTTAATCTGGTGCTCACCAAATTTTATAGCTCCAGATCCTGTTCTCAGTTTTAGGGCTGAGTTCTGCAGGATGAGATATTAAAATAAAAAAGAGGGAAGAGAGATTGATAGATATATATTTAGTAATGCAAACCAATCCTCAAGTCACCTGATATGAGTCAGCTGAAGCTCCCAGTACTGGCAGTACAGCTTCAGTCATTTCACCTCTTTTAAAATTAAGCCCTAATAACAGCATTGCCTTTAGGGGACAGTTCAAGATAAAAAAAATCTGGAATTTGGGCAGCAGGATTACTACACTGGACTTTTTTCTTCTTTATAAGCAGAGTGAGAATCAAGAGTATGCAATATCTCATACTTGTAATCTGTTCTAATGATTCAGAAAACCACATTGAGAAGCCCAGCATTAAGTGAAGGATAAAATAAATCTGAGTGACTTTACATTGTTTGTTTCAGCATGGCTGTGTGGAACAGGATGCTGATGCTAGAAATCCTTTAAACCAGGGGTCTCAAACTCAGCTTACCTGGGGGCCGCTGGAAGTAAAGTCTGGGCCACATCAAGTATTCCACCACCATGGTGGTGGTGGGCCGCTCATCCCGCATCGCTCCCGGAGGCCGGCCCGGGTGCCACCGGCACTTTGAAGGCCACAGGGCCCCTCCCCCATACCCTTCCCATCCCAGCAATTGGCCCATGGGCCACGAGTTTGAGACCCCTGCTTTAAACAGTGAAACTGAAGGATCCAAATGAAGTCTCTAGCTCTCTGTATGTATCAGAGAGAGAGAGAGGATCTGTATAAATCAGGTGTCACATCAGTCTGCAATTAAGGCTCAAATGGTCAGTTTCTTGCCAGGGCAATTAGGTTTATTTACAATTCAATGCATGGATCCATGCGTGCCTAACACAGGCACACCTAATGCTAATTCCATTAGGATTATATAGAATACACAAAAGGGGAGCGAATACAATACACAGGAAGGTGATTGGATATTTTGACATGGATAGGAAAGTGATTGGATACACATCACAGAACCAGAAAGAAAAGTTACATTCCACTCTAATTAGATACCTTTGACAGGCCTTCTAAATTAAAGTTACCTTGAACAGGTTGGCCAAGTTAAGTAAACAAAAAGGTCACATGTGTGAACTTACAGGGTTAGGGAGGCACTTTAGCAAGCCTATAAAACACAGAGATTACACTTTGACAGTTACCCACTAATGGATATTAGTGGGTAATGATTTCATTTAGCCTAATGAAATCATCTGGTCTTCACCACCAGACACTGAGACATCTTTTGATGTGTTTATGGCAGGGCAGTGGGGTAGGATGGTAACACTTGTTTTTCTGAGTATACAAGTATCTATGTAAATGTGTGTGTACCTATTTGCTTATATGAATGGCATATGTAGTAGGTGAGAAGTTAGCCATGGTTTATGCCAAAAACAAAAAATTAAGACTTTTAAAAGAGTTTGGATAAAGTGAGGAGCAAGATACCTTTTACCTAGTAATCTATCTCAGATTCAGTAATAATAACCATGCTCGGTTTGCAATCCTCTCCTAGTTTTCCTGAAAACATTGGGTTCCATAAGATTGACTTAAAATAAAAAAAGTGCAGGATCAGAGCTTCTCAATTTGCTGATCTGTTGCCTAGTCCTATTTATGTTTACCCCAATGTCCATATCACTAAACTGAAGGGGGCTTATTCCCAAGTTAGTACCTGCAGGGGTACAGTTTCACAGCATCCTAGCATATTACTTCAGTAACTGCTATTCTATACATGTCAAAAGTAAACTCCACTGAGATCAATGAGATTTAATCCCAGTAAGTGTGTAGAACTGCAGCCTAGTGGTGTTACTTGGTTTCAGATAGATACATTCCAAAGGAAAGAGATCTGAATACACAAGGGTTTCTATTTGTTGTTGTTGATTCTAATGGCATACTCAAACATTCTTAACTTTCTGTGATTAGATGTGCACCATGTTTTAAATCTTATTTAGCCTAATGACATTTTTATTTAAACCTTATATTATTCTACAATTGTGTTATTATTAATATCCATTAATAATCAATCAGGCCAAACAGAATCACTCCTTCAGTATCATCAATCAATATCATCAAGATTCTTTAATATTAGGGGAGATTTTTTAATACCAGAAATATCTTTTACTATTAATATGAATGCTTAATTACAGTCATCTTGCAATTATTTCCCACTCAAAAACATTCATACTGGAAGTTATGCCAAATCAGACCAGTGGTCTATCTATTTTGATATTGTCTACACCAAGGGTGGGCAGACTTGAGTTGTACGGGATCTACGTTGTTTTGCTTGTAGGTGAGTTGCACCCATATTTAAATGTGGGAATTCATTTCTCTCGAATTCCACTTACTGAATGGTCCTGGGATAGTTGACTGAGTGTGTGTTCTGAGGGCAATCCCACCACTCCAGAAATGGTTTGGTTCACTTGCAGAAGCAGGTACCAGGGATTGTTCTACCAGCAGCTTTAGCACAGCGCAGCTTATTCCTGTTTTTTTCTTTTTCTTTTTGACTTCCGAGAGCAAGCTCTTAAGCTGTAATCTTATATGCACTTACCTGGGAGTAAGTCCCACTGAATTCAGTGGAAATTACTTCTGAGTAGACATACCTATAATTATGCTGCACATGGATTATGAATGGGGCAACTTATCTGCTGGTTCTATGGATTATACATAATCATCATCATCATCATTAGCAGGCTGGCTCACTTGATTGTGCAGCCTGTGTTCTACATTAATTGTTTTGGCTTGCTGCTTGTGTTGTGAATGGCTGCATGATTGCATTGGTGCTGGCTTTTAGCAGTGCTGTTTTCCACAAGGACCAGAGGCCATGAGCAGCTCCCAGTCACTGTTGCAGTCTCTCTCAACTTCACTCACTCACTCGTCTTTTTACAGTAACTGCTAACTCTCTGGAGAAGTTCTGACTCATTTAGCTGTGGGTGGACTGTGGAGATCTGGCTTCCTGGAGGAAGCTTTAGGGGTGGGGAGTTAGGAAACCTGCCTCTCATTCGTTGTAAAGTGGCAGTAGGGGTGGGGAATGCAGGAGCTAGTGGACTGCTGTGGAGGAGGAATCCAAGAGACAAACAGAAGCATAATGAGCTAGTTGCAGGGAAAACAGAATGTGCAGGTGAGAGAGTAAGCAATGTGGATCTGTGCTAGGAGAGGCCCTGGCAGGTGGGCCTGGAACAAAGAGGTTCCTGCTTGAAAAATCAATGCTTGGTGGGGTTCAGAAGTCAAATTAGATATACTTTACCTCTAGAAATCCCTTGGCCCTGGTGACTTGTCCAACCCACCAACCACCATAGCTATCAGCTAACACCACATTGCAACATGAGGCTTCTAACACATTTGAATATTATCATTTAGTCATTTTGAAATAACAGAATTTTCAGCAGTTCCTGAACACCAGGCCTATGAGGCACAGCTCTTGTTCCCCTTCCCCTCTCTTTTGGCCAGCTGCAGGCATCACAAGCAAAGCACAGCCTGGCTCGCAGGTTCGAGCCTTTAGTGTTCTCCTTTCTCCCCTGCACACACTGATTATTGTGAATGGGAAAGAATCATAGTTTGCCACAGCATCCATATGAGCAAATTATGGGTTACCATAAAATAGGGCGGCCAACCAGCTTTTTGGGACTACAACACTCATCACCTCTAACTGCTGGCAATGCTGGCTAGGGCTGATGCCTCTCAAACATTGTGGGGGGCATCAGGTTGCAACAGTTTGCCTCCAAACCAGAGCTTTGGTAACCATCATTTGTCACAGCCGATGCCGAATTCTGCCACGAGAGCAAACAACATTTCCTGCTTTGAAATAACTAAAGCAGGATACTGAACTGAATATGGGAGGAGGATGCCTGCAATCCCAAGCCACAGAAAACCATGGTTTCCCATAATGTTTGAGCTACATTAATAGAAGCTACATTATTATTACTGTCTACCACTTGAATCATTTCTGTTAAGTCTCTAACGAAAATGAAAATGATAAACATAAAATTGGGCCTGTTTTCAATGAAGCACCTCCAGTTGCACCACCTTTGTCAGCAGGAACATCCAAAATCAAGCAGCACAAGACAGGTACATGCACGTGTTATATTCATAATTTACCAAGAAGACCAGAAATTGAATGAAGGGTTACTAGGCATACCTTCTACCCTCTCTGCAGCCCAATGCTTTCCAGAGGTTTCCAGTATCCATGCCTCCTTTCTGTCTGCTATCAGGAAACTATTGTGGTATTTAAGTGTCATATGGCTCTCCATACAGTTTCCACCTTGACCATATTTGCCCAGCAAGTCAACAATGACACTGACAGCTTTTTCTGCAGTATCAGCTCTTTCGAGCCCAAGTCTGAAATCAAATCAAAGTATTAACTTTTTAAAAGATTCTTAAACACTAAGAGTTAAGTTGAATTAAAACTTTATTGCAAGTGAGTGCACATTTTTCTACCAACTACGCACGTATCTTGCCCTAGATCAGGCGCACAACAGCTACTGCTATTATTTTATGGAGAAAAATTGTCTTTACACATATATAGTGTAGTATCCTAGCATTCATAGATATGCTGCTCCCAAAATAGTAGAGCTGTTAGCAGTTAGAGGAAACAGCTACAGTAAAGTAGCTCAGTCAAGAGGAGGAAAATGGTCCTACTTTAAGATCTGCTGCACAAGTTTAAAAAAAAAACAAACCCAATACACAGGATCAGGCATGCTACATCTGAAGAGCGATATCACAGAACGGGATGCTTTGCTGGCAATCTAGATAAATGCCTACATACATTACTGGAGCATCCAAGTTTTGCACATGTTTTTATTATTTAATAAGACTGCTTCTACTGATTATATAACAGTTACAGTGATTTATGAGAAACAAATAGTTTGCAGTCTTTGTAGTTGCTGGGGAAGGCGAAAACAAAACCTACCTGAGAATCAGGGACCATGTCAAGCCTCTTGAAAGGAAAAGGATGGGATATGCATATCATAAATAAATAAATGAATTTGTTTTCATTTCTTGCATGAGTCCACATGGAAGTGAGCCAGTGTAGCGCAGCAGTTAAGAGTGTTCGACTGGAACACAGGCGATCTGGATTCTAGTTCCCACTCAGCCAGGAAGCTTACTGGGACAATCACTGACTCTCAGGCTAACCTATCTCACAGGGTTGTTGTGAGGATAAAATGGAGAAGAGAGTCATGTAAGCTGTTTTGGGAGAAAAGGCAGGATTAAATGATCCTGACAATACCAGCATCTTATTTTGGGGCTGGATCTAAGCAAGGTGCTATGCACATACACGTGCTCTGCCATTTGCCGGCAACAACATGCATGAAAGAGCAACAGGATGGCTGGCAGGGGCAAGAGAGGGAACAAAGGTAAAACAGCACCACCTGCTGTTTCCTTTTAATCTTCAATGATTTTACATTTTGCATTTCACACATTTAGCTGCAAATGGTCATAATGTTGAAATGTTACACTGAATAATGAGAAAAGTAGGACACGCGTAAACTGACCCATTCCCCCACCCCCAAACACTTTCTCTGTGCTGGTAAAGTAGCATTTTATGCAGCACTTAATGCAAACCTGACAAGATCCATGCCTAGGAGTGCTTCATCATCGCAGACTTCTTCTTTCCCCCATACGGCTTCATTCCCAATGCAAACCCCGTGTTCGTTGGCCCCCATTTCAGCGCCCCACAGCCATGATGGGCGACTCAGGACAACTGCATACGTTTCCGGTACTTGTTCAATTGCCATGTAAGTACACTGCAATAAAGATGTTTCCAGAAAATGCATCAGAGGAATCCAAAATCCATGTTCCAAATTCCATGCAACCAATTGCAGCCAGTTGCCTGAGCAGGCTTCCCAACCTCTTCTCTTGCAACCCTGTGTGCCATGAAATAGATTTAAGGATTGGGAGATGCTCCTGAAAAAAATGGCCAGTGCTATGGAAGGCCAGGGTGCAGGAGAGGCGGGAACTACCCTGAGCCCTCACTGTTCTGAGGGCACCCACATGTCTGTTTACCTTACCTAAGGTTAGTGGGCAATTTATGTACTTATTTCTTTTATTTAATAGCTTTACTTCTTGCCTTTTTAAAGGAAACAGAATCTTATAGGGGGGCCTACAGTTATACAGTGCTTCCTTGACAGAGAATGGAAAGAAGGGTTAGGTTGCAACAACTCCCCCTGCAGTACTATACAATAAAACAATTATTGTGGGCGCAATCCTTTGGCCTTCCAAAATTCTTTGGGAGATTATTTTGCAAACCCACAACGAAGGTCCTCTGACTAAGGAGGTGGGACTCTGAAGTCTTTGCCCTGGCCCTCTGCAAAAATGACCACACTCGCGGTCCTCGAGATCAGACATCAACCTATGAGAGGGCTAAGGGAGCATGGTGACGGAGGAATGTGAGGAGGCCGAGACCAGCAGCTTACATATACCCGCACAGCATCCTTGCCCTGCAGGAGCTCATCTAGGCAGCTGAAAATGGCCATCTAGTGACATACAGGGTGTGAGGTGCCGGACAGTGGTACTTGCTCTGCTGCACTTTGCACCCTGTACTGGATGTGCGTAAGCCTCTGTTTGGAGGCTTATGTGCACTGAGGGTGGATGACCTAGGATCACACCCTGTGTGGATGGTCTTTGTACTTAAACATGCTATTACAGTCAGTGCTGGGAGTGGAGTACAGGAAAAAGCTCCCTACATTATGTCCTGGGCTTCCCCTCTGGGAGAACATGAATGAAAATTGGACCCCTTGAGATCCAACCCAAGATTTTTATCAAGCCTGGTAGTCTCTGAAAAGAAGAGCTGTGTTCAGTAGCAGGGGAAAAAGTCCCAGAACATCTCCAGGTAGAGCTGAGAAATACCCCTCCCTGAAACCCTGTTGAGTGCCAACACAGAGCTGGACGAACCGGTGGTCCATCTGACTTGGTATAAGGCAGCTTCCCAGATCCCAAGGAAGTTTCTCATTGTAAACACATTGCTCATAATTGGCTTCAGTATCTGGCTTTGAATTCTAGAGCAGTTTTAATGGGTGCATCAGCCTATGACTTCAATTCAGAAGAAAATATCTGTTTCTCTCTTTCACTCTTTCAGATAAGAATGAGGAATATGTGGCCCACCCAATGTTGCTGGATTGCAGCATGCAGCATCCACCATCCCTGGTCATGGCTTAACTGGCTGTGGCTGATGGGAGCTGAAGTCCAGCAACATCTAGAACACCACTGGTTCCTTATTCCTGCTTCAAGGCAAATAAAGAAAATGTAGTTTTACCTCAACTTTTTCTCCTGGATTATAAGTGGCAGCAGGGAAGTATACAATCTCCTGGACTTCATCAGAGGGCCTATCTGAGTTTTTTCCAAAGATGGTCCTGTTGCCCAGTGTGGCTGGAGGCAGAGCCACAAAAGTATCACAGGAGGACGGGTCAGTAATCCTGTGAGTCATCCTGGAAATCACCTGTTCCTGGTAACACAACCATAGCAAAATAGCACAGTGAAAATAATTTGTATTGGGAAACAAAAACTGAGATTTGATTGTATCATAAATTTACTGATAAAATTTACTGATTTCAGTAATCTCAATTTACTGATAGTTCTAAATCAGCAATTACAGGCTCTCTTTCAGGTTATTTGTTGCTGGAAAATGGTAGCTTTTTAGTTAGACTGTACCTTTTGGCCCCACTGTTTACAATGTTTTCCCCATGTAAGCAGCCAACTTGATAACACTTCATAAATATAACAAAGTCTACACCAGTCCCTGAGAAGCTATGCCAGGATAAATACATTAGTCTTTAAAGTTCCACAAGACTCTTGTTTTTTTCAGTATGAATACATTTATTTACTAATATTGATATCCTTCCTTTTTTCCTTTCAAGGAACTCCATGCTGCTTACATAATTCTCCTCCTGCTCTCAATCTCATCCTCACAACAACCCTGTGAGGTAAGTTGGACTGAGAGTCTGTGACTGGCCCAAAATTCCCTAGTGAGCTCCATGGCTGAGAGGGAAATAGACTGGAGTGTCCAACCTTTTGGCATCTCTGGGCCACATTGGAAGAAAAAAAAATGTCTTGGGCCACAAATTAAATACACAAATACTAACAAAAGCTGATAAGCAAAAAAAAAAGTCTTCGCATAATTTTTGTGATATCTGCCATGACAGACAAGCAAAAAAGTCCACACATAATCCTAATTATGTGGTACTCCGTTCAGAGTCCTTTAAAATCATTGAGCAAGTCCAAAGTTTGTGATCACTAACAGAGAAAATTAACATATCTAAGTAATAAAACTTCATTGATTTTTTATTATAAAAGCAAAAGAAAAGAGGGCAACAGTGGGATATTTGACATTGTATTTGAGAAACTAATGGATCAATATTTGGTTCGAGGGAAGTAGTTGCAATTCTCAGTCAGTTCTCAAGGTGCTCATCAGATATTCTGGTTAGCACACCATCTAAGTGTGCTTCATTCTTGAAAATAGTTGCTCACAAATGTAGGTGCTTCCAAAAAGTGAAGACATGAATAAGGCATGATTGTGAAGCAACAGATATTTGTCTCTGGGACGATAGGACCTATAAAAGTCCAAGATCAAATTTTTCTTTAAGTTGAATGTCAGATTGCAGCGCTATCAATTTTCTATTCCATTTGAAAATTGGCAGGTAACATATTTATGTCGACTGAAAATGGAGTCTCAAATATACCAAAACAGTGCTTATTTTCCCAGGAATCTTGAAATCTGTTTTCAAATTCTTGTATCAAGTTGAAAAGCAAGGTTGCATATTTTTCCTTGTCCACAGGACTGTGTTTAGCCAACAAATCAAGATGTATAAAATTGTTTGCAACGGCAGGTTGAAAGATTATTGATAATAACTGTGTTTCACTCGCTAAGTCACCAAGAGCACATGTACTGAGGGTGCAAATTTGACTGTCTGCACTTGGGAGATAACATACTGGAAGCTGCAGACTGCCATAAAACTGAAGCCATGCATGTGTACAAATAGTGAGAGCATAGATACGTTTATTTTACGTGACACTGTGACACAACATTGTTGTCTACAAAGTACACACTGGAGAACTGCGTGATCAAGTTACCAAAAAAATTGCAAAAAAAAATCTTATGTTTTAAGTAAGTTTACAATTTCGTGTTGGGCTGCACTCATAGCCCTTCGGAGCCGCAGGTTGGACACCCCTGAACTAGACCCAGATCTCCTGAATTCCAGTCCAGGGCTCTTAACGACTACACCATACCTGGCTGTCAAGTTACCACAGTTGTTCTGTCATCTGGCAACCAGTAATATTCACCTTAACTATCCCAGATCAAAATGGTTAAGTAGCTGTGTTGCTCCATACCCTCCCCACAAAAATCCAAAAGCCACAGCATAGCAATATTTCAACTGGACTAAACTGGCAGAAAGTTGTGCGCAAAGTTCTGAGTTCTCCAAAACATTTTATTTCCAGGCTGGAATTGAGCAGAACAGGGCTCAATGTAGTAATGCCTCAAACATTACAATGTTAAGAAAATGCTGTGCAGATTTTGTGGTTGTTCAAAAAATGGCAATTAGATTTCCAGAGAGGTACACTACTTCAATGTGGTGCTTTCCAAAGGTACTGGATTAACGCCCCTCTTTCTGCATCATCACAGCAGAGTTGTAATCCATTGAATCTAGAGGGTACCAGGTTGGGGGAAGGCTGGAAATAAGAAGTTGGTTAGCCTTCGATGCAACCTTGACCAGTTGAGTCAGACTATGTAGCTCCCAGTACTCCTGACCCTTGCCAAGACTGACAGAACTGAAATCCCGAATATCTGGCTGGCACATTAGATTGGGGGAGGCCGCTTTAAGATGCCACAACAAGCCTAAATATGGCTACAAAAACATTCACCAGTGACAGGGCACGATCACAGGAAACCACACCAGTAAACACGGTCCGGGTCTTTCCTTTGCGAAACTGAAGAGTTTGTACAGTGGGAGGGCGGAGACTAGGACAGCCTTCCCCAACCTGGTGCCCTCCAAATGTTTATTACAACCCCTATCTCCTCGGCCATTGGTCATACGGGCTGGGAGCCGATGGAAGTTGTAGTCCAGAACAGCTGAAGCAGGGCTCCCGTTGCAGGAGGCTGGGCTTGGAAGCCTACCCGTCCCCTCGGCAGCTCCTCGCGGCGCTCCGAGACCGCCCGGGCGAAGACTCACGGCCGGCGCGGCGCCTGCAACGGCCGCGGCCTCGCTCGCTCCGGCCTGGAGAAGCAGGCGCGCCGTTTGCGCCCGCCGCCGCAGTGCGAAGCGCAGACAGCCCTCCTCCTCCAGCTGCAGGAAATGTCGACGTCGCCTGCCCCGGAAGCCCCGGGTCAAAGCCGGGACTCGGCTCCGGCGGTGTGAAGCGAAGCGGACGCAGCCTGTTGTTGCGCACTTACGCCGGGGGCTCAAGGGCTGCTGGCCCCTTCAGGAGCCCTGATTTGCTGACCCTGCCGCCGCCGTCATGGGGAAGTCGTTCGCCAACTTCATGTGCAAAAAGGATTTCCATCCCGCCTCCAAATCCAATATCAAAAAGGTGAGCGAGCCGTCGGCCGCGGCCGCTTCTCCGGGGGCAGCCCGCACCGGCATCGCGCTCGCTCTCTCCGCGCAGCCCATAGCCAGGCGCCCGGCGCGGCGCATTTAGCCGCGGCAAGGCTCTTCAGCCGTCTTCCCGGGAAAGTGAGGGAAACTCGGCCCTCCTTCCCTTGAAGCTCCAAGGCCGCCTCCCCCGACTCGGTGTCTTCCAGCCGTGTAGGTCATCAACCAAGCTGGATGCGGAAGATAGACGTTGTAATCCAGCGCGCCTGGAGTGCACCGGGTTGGGGAAGGCGATCCCTTCTCTTCCTCCACCTCTGCTGCCCTGCTGTTGTGATGATCACTGATCCTCCACTCCCCACAACGTAAGAGTTGGGTGCCTGGGATGCCAGCTCTATCTGGCGATAAAAGGGTTGCATTAAATTTTGCATTCCTATCCTAACTGCTCATAAGTAAGCCTCATTGAATTCAGTGGCGCCTGCTTCCATGTTAATGGGTCTAGGATTGCAGCTTTAGGATACAATCCAGTGTCTATTTAGACAGTAAAACTGGCCTACCAATTCCCAGTGCTCTTCTGCCAGGACATTTTAGGACATTTTTCTATCTTACCATGCATAGGATTGTGCCCTTATTTGGGTTCTGTGCTGTCTTGTATCCCTACAAAGCAGGAATCAAAATAAATGAGAAGCAGGACAAAGAAATTAATGGAACAGGGATTGGGGAGAAAAAACAAAGTATCTTCCCAGATACTGAACACCTTGGCTAACCAAAGGATTTATTTCCCACAACAAACTCATGAAGTAATGGTTGACAAGGGGCCCACATCTTTTACATGTGTGCCTGCAATTGTCTCAACCCCTCCTCTGTCTATACAGACAGCTGTGTTACCCACTGTTCTCATGTGTTTCCATTTAATATAACATGGGCCTGCTTTTAGTGGAAAACTGAAGTTCCTGGGCCAAGATTTACAGGACTTGTATGATTTGTTGTACATACCCAAGGGGTCTTCTATTTCTTAAACAGCAATAAAACATGTAACATTTTATTTTTTTACTTCCAAGTGCAGATTCAGATATGGCATGGAAATCTGTATTCACAGGCACAATCTTTGAGGATATAGTATCTTTTTGGAACATGGCTATGGTGTACATCATAAACAAAGCAAAGACTAATAGATAATTTGTCATCCATTATATTTTATAAGCCAGCCTAATAAATATAGCCCAAGTTAATTCTGCATACAAAGTGTGTACACAAAAATGCAGTCTCCCCTGCATCCATGTAGAAAGTTACAGTTTCTTGCATTTTCACAATCACTAAAGCTAGTTAGGGTTTGTTTGTTTTTTTCACCAAGATCTGTGGTGCTCCTGATGTTGTTGAATCACAACCACAATTATTCTTGCTGTTATTGATCATTGGCTATGTTGGCTGGGACTGATTGGAGTTGAAGCTCCATCTGAAGGGCCACATATCCCCACTCGATTCTAAAACTTTCTTGAAAAGATTCTATACTCCTAAATACTGTAAGGTCACCTGCAGAGTTTGTTTTGAGATGTCTTCTTTCCGACCCAAGACTATTTATAAATATTTATGTATTTATTCACATATTTATCTGCCTTCTATAACTGCCAAAGGCCTTCCTAGGCAGCTTACAAGTAACAAGCAAATGTTAAAAAGCACCAGTCTGTTTCAGATCTTTGAGGGCTCTTGCTATTTCTTTCTGTGTATTGTTAAAAACCCTATTTCTTTTACTAAGTTCTGCTGCCTTATCTCATGGTTAAGTCTTTCAAGTCTGTGTTTGCACCTCAAATCTCTACATGTCAATTGGAAGTCCCACTGAGTTCAATGGCACTTGCTTCTAGTGAGTGGGGTATAGGTTTACAGGATCGTTGTTTCCACTAATTTTCCTGGAGCCAAAAATCACACTGATAAGTCTGCAAATGCATGACTCCCACTTCAACTTTTGTTTTTGAAATTGTGTTACATTACTTACCAAACTTAGTGTTAAGACAAATATTTAATCTTGGAATCAAAATGTCAAAGATATCAATATTTCATCTTTAAATCCTCCACGAACCCTTTGATTACTGTCTTCTGGCATTTGCAAAGGAATATACTTTTTAGTGTGTCAATGTCAAAACCACATGCTTTCTCATCTCTATTTGACATTGTTATTCAGATGTCCTGTCCCCAAAAAGGATGCAGCATGGAGTTGGGAGTTGGAATGGGGAAAGCAAAATGTACAATTCTTGTACCAGTCCTAAATGTATTTAATTGGAAGGAAATGGAACTGCTTCGAACACATCAATAAGCTATTTCTAGAAAAGGTTGAATTTTGCTGTATTTGTGCTAGAATTCAATGTATTTGTTCTATTTTCCCAAACTATATAACGGATTATACATAAGTTGTCAGTTTCATGATTTATTTGGGTTTCAGAATTTCAATAAAAATCCATAAAGTGGCAATCAGAAGTTTTATATAAGAAACATTATTGAAGTGACATTTGTTCCAACTAGGTATGGATGGCAGAGCAGAAAATATCTTATGACAAGAAGAAACAAGAAGAATTAATGCAGCAATACCTTAAGGAGCAGGAATGTTATGATAACAGGTGAGAAGTGGCACTTCGTCTTAGGTTTTGATTGATAAAATAATGCCTACTTTCATTTTTTATTGAAAAGAAAAAATCAGATACAGCATCTAAATTTCATATTTCTCCATTAGTTGCCATTCTTCATCAGTCATACTAATTTTGTTTCTACATTGTTTTACAAGTGATTGTGATATTTTAAAAGGTTGCAGGCTACTCTGAGCAATAGTTTCACCCTGAAAGGGTAGAATGTAAACCGTATAATAGATGATATTGGTCTCTTCTTGAGAATAGCAAGCTTTCCTTTTAAAAAAAAAACATTTTCTAATCCTGATGACACGGGAGAATAGGCATTACCTAGCACAGTCTACTGATATAATAGAAGTGCAACTGTCAAGTTAAAATATTATAATGCAACTGGCAAGCTTAATTCCTACTATTTAAAATTGAATGCTTGTTTATTCTTGTTAGATTTGTTTAGTAACAATACACATTTCTTACATTTCTTGTGATATATTTCTTGTTATACATCCTATATAGATTACTTATGGGTGATGAACGTGTAAAGAATGGTCTAAATTTTATGTATGAAGCCCCACCTGGAGCAAAGAAAGGTAATTCTTATTCCTTAGTAGCTCATGTAGCATTTATTAGCAAGCCAACATCAAGAGTAGGTCTGGTTGAGCACCTGCCAAAGGTCCCTACCCCGCGAGGGACATCCCAGCAGCGCCCTGCTCATAAGAAGCCCCTGGTATTGTGCATTCTCTGGAGCCTGCTTGCTCACACACCTTTCACTGTGGCCCAGGCATTTGTGTTGTGAATATAACAGTAGTAAAAGTATCTGCAATGAACCTCCCCAACAGGGGAAGGTACAAGTCAGCCCACAGAACATTCAAATGTTGGTTACCATTAGTTGTTAGTTGAGATTCATTGATCACATGTACATATAAAATGCCAGAGTCTACTTAGGAAGAGCCCCATAGCTCAGTGGCGGAGTACCTGCTTTGCATGCAAAAGGTCCCAGGTTCAAACCCTGACATCTCAAGGTAAGGCTAGGAATGACCCTACCTGAACCCCTGACCAGTCAGTGCAGACAGTACTGAGTAAGATGGACCAAGATTCCAACTCAGTTCGAGGCAGCCTCCTACCTTTCTTAAAATGGGTAATACTGTGGCCCTTTAGATGTTGCTGAACGCTAACTTCTGTAAGCCTCGTTCAACAATGCATTAGCTTTGAATCTAGAAATTAAATCTTAAGTTTTATGTAATTGCAAATAAATAGTACATATTTTAAATAAAGAAAAATACTCAATTATAGTTACAGCTCTTTGAAATATGTTTCTTTTAAATAGATGCGTGATATCTCGAACAATCTGAAAGTAGTTTGAAATGCTGATGCCTAAAACATGTCTTTTCTAATATTCTGTCTTATCTTTTCTCTGTGCTGTTCCATGATGTTAATCAAAAAGAGAACAAAGAGGTAATTTTGAACTTTGATTTCTTATCTTTTACTCATATTTGTTATTTATACATTTCAAACTAGAATTTATGTTATAATTTGCTTTTTAATTTTGTTTTTTAGCAAGAGGGAGAAACCGAGTACAAATTTGAATGGCAGAAAGTAGCTCCACGTGAGAAGTAAGAATTATTCCTTTATCATTTTATAATGTCATCTGCAGGGATTATTTTCATGTTTGCGTCTTTTGAACAAGATTTCTTAATTCCAAGAACTAGCCTGATTTACACATGAAACTAACCCCTAGTGTGGGATGCTGAATTCTAGACTGTACAAACAACTCGGTTTGTATTGTACAACTAGACTGTACAAACAACTAGGTTTGTATTGTACAACTAGACTGTACAAACAACTAGGTTTGTATTGTACAAACCTAGTTGTGCATACCATGGGCATCTCAGGCAGCCAGACACGGACAGATTTAAACCACAGGTTGTTATTAAGTGTGAACAAAGAACTGTGGGTTGTAGATGAGTTATCAGGCTACAGAGTCAGCAGTCATGAGTAGTTAAAAACCCACCCATTCTACATGCCAGTACTACAGTAAAGGCATTTGGGATACGAGGAAGGAGCATCGAAGAGAAATGAACAACCCAAGTAGCTACAAAACAAGCAGTGGTTTCTTCAGCTTTCTGTCAAGCAAAGCTTGAGTAAGACAACAAAAAATAGGTTGACTAAGCCATGGATTATGTAATCTGTGTGACAGGGCATTGTCACATGGTTGAAAACCTGTGTATCCTTAAAGAAATCAAGGACTGACAAACCTACCTTTTCAAGTGATAGTATCTTTGATTCTTGTTTCTTTGAGTGTAGATCAGCTGACTATAAGCTCTCCTACATCCAGGCTTAATGAAGTATAAAACCCATAAAGTGAAGGAAGGCAAATTAATATACAAAAAGCCTCACTCAATTTGGCAACATACGTTTTTGGTATCATTGACCTCACCCAGGTAACCACTGGACCCAGATAATTGCAAAAAGAGCTTTGCTTACCAAAATTAACCTGGGTTTGGCCATGGAGATCTAGAACATGAGTGGGGAGAACAGCAGAATTGAAGGAGGCCACTTTGCAGATCATCTTTTTCCTCTCTGAGAGAGATGGATCTAACCTAAAGTACTGTTTCTTTAAAATACTTGTATATTGCTTTTCCACTTAATTCTTCAAAGGAACTCACAAAAATGAACTATGATCAAATAATTTAAAAGGTAAACATGGCAACACAGAGCAGAGACAGCAGCTACAAGAAATAAAACAGCCCACAAAAATGTTAAGTACATATCAGTAGAAAAGCAAACATAATAAAAAGAGTAACAGTGAAAGTAACATAATCCTTTTTTTAACCCTTGACAGCTATGATGAATATAACAGTCTTGACCTGATGAATTTGAAAGTTGTAACAAAATTATAATTCTGGAATATGGCAGACTTATAAACTGTTGTCACTTATAACATTCTTGTCACATATGTGCAAATAAAAATGTGTATCTTCTTCTTCTCTTGCATTTCAAAGATATGCCAAGGATGACATGAACATTAGAGATCAGCCATTTGGAATCCAGGCAAGTTTTGAACATTCTCTCTACCCACCCTGCCCCTATTTTGGGTGAATTTCGAATGTCCAGTCATGTGCAGATTATTTTGGAGGCTTTTAACATGCCTCATAGGACAAAAGTGGATAGAAACAGAACACGGAGTAACATTATGACAGTATTGGTAATTTTTCAGGTGCGGAATGTGAGATGCATTAAATGTCACAAGTGGGGCCATGTAAACACAGACCGAGAATGTCCTCTGTTTGGGCTTTCTGGAATTAATGCAAGCTCAGTTTCCAATGATGGATCAGGTAGGCATGCAAAATATATTTTAATCAAATTGTGAAATGGTATTTTGAATTTTTTTCTGAAAGGTGGATAACTTAATGTGATAGTGCAGTTAAGCATAGGTAACCCGTGGCCCCCTAGATGGTTTGGTCTACAGCAGGGGTCCTCAAACTTTTCCAACAGGACCAGTTGAAAGTTGCCCGCGGTGGGTACGGGCTGCCAAGGTGGTACTGGCGGGGGGTGCGGGCCAGGGTGCGCATTCATGTGGCAAGGCGGGGGCGGGGGACGCACAGGGTGAGGCAGCCGCTTGCTCGAGCAGAGATCGTTTTCTCCAAGTGAGTCCAAAATGATCCCCATTCAAGCAAGCTGCTGCTGGGGGGCACACACGGCAGACACCGGCTTGCTCACAAGGAGATCATTTCTCCAAGCGAATCCAAACCAATCTCCACAGGAGTAAGCCGTGTGCCCACGTGCACAGCGAGTGCAAATCTTCTGGGGCGGGCCGGATCCGGCCCTCGGGCCGTAGTTTGAGGACCCATGGTCTACAGCTCCCATGACCCTGCCCCACTGGCTGTGCTGGCAAGGGCTGACAGGAGCTAGAAGCCAGACCATCAGGAAGGCTACAAGTTGCCCAGCCTTGGTGACAGTGCAACTTGGGATGCAGTTTTTTCTTTGTGTAGCAAATAGTTTTGAATAAGTATTTTGGGGGCCACTGAAATGGATCATTGTATTTCTGTTGATGGATGTTCTGTTGATTCCCAGACTGCATGTTGGAACTCTCTGGCATGTGCAAAGGGGACTAAAGTGTGCCTTGAAAATTAAACTGCTATATTGGACGTGTTCGTGGTTCTTGGGAGGTTCCATGCAGCATGGACTGCCGGTAAATGCGCAGTAATGTATTCTCAAGGGAAGATGCAGTGGAATGGCTGTCACAGCCTGTGCTATAAATCCAAGGCACTGGGGAATCCCATAAGTACCAGCAAGTTGAATCCCAGCCTGAAACACCGGCTGGGCAAGGGGGAAGACAGGAGGCTGGGAGCCACTAGTGACCAGACTGCCTCAGGGTTGGCAGGAGAATGCCTGCCCACTGGTCTCAGAGCTAAAGAAGAAAATGATCTAGTAGCCATGCAATTATTAATTGTCTATGCAAAAGTAAGCCCCATTGAGTTAAGCCTGGCTTACTGCCAGGTGATTGTGCTTTGGACTACAACCTAAGACTATGTATATCTCCAGTTTTAATGCAAAACAAACAAGGTAGATATCAACATTAGAGAAACTTCAATCAAAAGTAAATGAACATAAATTAAATTGCAAAAGCAGTAAGATAAAATGCTAAGGAAATGCTAATTTCTTGGCTCTCTGGAGTATTACCTGGTATCTAAATGAAAGCTGTATTGGGAGACGCTTTCCATCCAGATTCCTGACTCTGCCGACAGGTGTCTCCATTGCTCTGGCACATTAATGATGCAGCCCTACCATTTTAGAGTGATATCTATGTGAACTTTATAGAAGGCTAAATATATTTCTGTTTGAATAAAATTCAGATACTCACTGTGCACAAGTTGTACATTATAAATGCATGTATTTTTGAACCTTTTTCATAAACCCTCACTTGGAGCTTCTTTAGTGGCATTAGTCACCTATTAAATTGAAGTAGCTAGCTAATGTAGCATGACTTTTCTGTATAGATAGGGATGGAAACTTTTCTTTGGTTTACAGTCCCAAACTTCTTAGATAGCTGGTGTTCATGTATTAGAACCAGACACTAACCTTAACTAAACACTTAATGAAATGTTATCAGACTGGGTGCATGTGCATAACTTCAGTCTCCTATGGGAAGAACAACATCACATTACTAGAACCTCTGTTATCTACTGATCTGCTTTTAATGTACAAACAAGAGTGCAGACTCAGAATTTCAGAATTTCAAACAAAGCCTTCCTACTCTATATAAAACAATTCTTCATATGAGCTCTTGCTAAAGGACAGAAGAAACGCCTTGCCAGATTAGACAATGTTGCACCTAATTAGACCTTTCTGGAAGAATCTTGAGAGTGGGCCATGACTGTCTCTTCTGCCCATCCGTGGTAATTGCACCTCCAGCAATTTATAGATTACGTTCATATTTTTGGCAATCTTTGGGACATCTTTAGCTAAAACTCAGGTGTGAACTGTGGGGTTTTATATTTGGGATTCTTAGAGGCTCCTGACCCTCTCCATGGGTGGGCAGAGGATATATTGCTAGATGTTAGGGTTGCCATACTCCCCGTCAGCCTGGCCAACGGTCAGGAACGCTAGGAATTGGAGTTCAAAGCACCTGAAGGTTTATCTGCCTGCCCCTGCTCTATCACATAGGCTAGCTTAATAGTTCTTCATTATTGGAAAGAATTGCTATAGTGTATTATATCTTTACTGTATTTTAATATCTAATAACAAAGAGGCAAATAGTCTAGGACTCCACTGTGACAGACTTTATACAAAGTCTCCAAATGCAGAAAGTTGAAGGTCTGGCTTGAAGGTCTGCTCTCCAAGAAGGGTTTTTACTGCTCTGTACTTTTGGCAATGCTTTTTTCTGCTCTTGGTGGTCATTGTAGAATTAAGCAAGGATAGACACAATTCATCTCTTTCCATACCTGCATGTGTATTCATTTCACCCAAGGACACAACAGAGCACTTTCCTGCTAGCTCAGTTGTCCTGAATACACTGCAACGCACTTGGGCATTATTTCTCATGTGCCTACCCCTTCTGTTTGCAGCCCCTGCAGCTCTTTTTCTCTGAGCCCTTCCATGGAGACTGCATCACTAGCTCAGTTCAAAAACCAGTGGGCCTTTCATCATGATGTGTTGCAAGGTCATGCTTTTAATTCCTTTACATGCAGAGGATTTTCATGGCACTGTTGTCCTGATCAAGAAGTCCAGCAGAAGGCTGTACCCCTTGAAACCGGCAATAGGTTGGAGGCTGGCTACCAAATGAAGATGCAAAGACAACATGTAACTTAACGCAGAGTTTCAGCCATGCATATTTGTGCTCGCTGAGTTCTTCAACTCGTAACAGCTTAACTGTTGCAGGATTGCATTGAAAAATCTTAAATGGAGTCCTCCAGATCTCTTCTATGAAGGGAAATGTTCCAGGTTGGCAAAGGAATTATGCAACCGTTGCATATCAGAACATGTCACTGTTCACAGTAGGAACTCGCTCCTTGTGTGGAGCTCAGTGTGCCCATTAGAGCCACAGTATCATAGACCATATTTGCAGCCCCATTTATAAACTTTCTATTGATCTCACTGCTGACACTTCAAATGGAATAGTTTCCGGTTGATTGTACCCATGCAGATTAAAGCCCTTGTCTGGTGTTCATGAGTACCTTGTTATTTAAGAATGGTTGTCTTTTTCCCCCTTTTTCACAATACAAAAAGCACAACTCATGGTGTTGCGAACAGAGGAAAGAACAAATGCTGTGTCTGGGTGGATTTCATTTTTTCCTTTTGTATACAGACTGTAGTGCTAATCCAGTTGGTGATTCAAACTTAAATATATAATCTTTCTGCTTTCAAAAGTATCCTATTGAATAATATATCTCACTGGTGAATGGAGATTATTTTTGCAATAAGGCAATTTCACTGGATGTGGTTATCATGGGATAATCACACCCCTGGGGTACAGCCTTGTCAGTAATCTCCCAGGAGTGTAATTATTTCATGACAACTGCACCCCCCTGGTGTTGCATTTATTTCCATTATGAAATCTTAGTTTGACATATAAAGTAACTTACTTTGATCACTGGAAGCTACATGGTAGTGTTAGAATGTTCCAGCTGCGAGGTTTACCGAGACCAGCTATAAGCTTTACTACATTCTTTACAAAGTTAAATTAGGCAATCAAAATGCTTCTTTCGACTAAGCTGGTTTTAGATTTTTTTTAACTGATCTTAACTTTTCAGCTTTATAATCAAAAGAAGGTAAAATTTATATGAAAAACTGTATTAGTTGAGCTGGATTGGTATTGGTGTTTCACTGAAGTGTAGTTAATTGCATCCAAGAAATTCTAAATTTTAAAACAATACTTTACCTTCTAAACAACTCCTTTTGCTGATTATTTATAGCACAGATGGTCAAGAGTACAAGAGGAAATTGTTCATTGTAAATTCAGTCAAGGCTGAAGTAGTTATTGTGAAAACATTAAGGCTGTCGCCAAGAATGGCTGCCACACTTCTAGATCTTCCTCTGAAACACTAGAGCTTCCTTGTATTATGGCAAGATAGTGTCTGACATTGTGTACTTCAGTCACCACTGATTGTGGATTGGTTGCCACCATGTGTACGGAATGCTGGACTAGGTGGACCTTGGTCTGATCCGGCATGGCTTTTCTATGTTTCTATAATTGTGTAAGATCAAGTTTAGTTTGATAGTTGTATCTTTGTCGTGCCATTGAGGAAAGCGTTCATAGAATTTACTGCAATAGCTAGTTTGGCCCTGGATCAGGGCTCTTTCATGATTATACTTTCAGATGTGTAATTTGCTTCCAAGGATGTATAGTGCGCTTTCAGAATGCTGTCAGAAACAGCTTCCAAATGCAGACTGGGAAATAAAGTTAAAGCAGTTCGTTCTACTTAATCCATGGGTATGCATCCTTGTGTGGCTTATAGTGGACACAAAGTGGACGTTGACCCCAAAAACTGTGCCTCAAGCATAAGCTGGTTGAGTTTGCTATGTGATACTTTTATATATACTATAGTGCAGTATAATTAATTCTTCTGACGTGTCACTAAGAAACAGTGAAGAACAAACTTAGGTTCTTCATTTTTGCACTTCTAACATGGTTTGTAAGGTAACATAAATTGATATTAATGGTGTACATATGCTGTCTAGTTTCTGCAAAAGTTCAGATGTTTACTAGAAATGGTCATAAAAATGGGAAGCCCCTATCTTCAGCTTTCTTTCCAAGAATATCAATTTCCCCTGGGGATGTTTTTACTCTTAATGCTTTGCTTAGAATATATAGATCCGAGGAAGAGGAAATGTT